CAAATTTTCAAATTCATAGTAGGCCCCAAATAAGGCCCTCAGATAGTTGCAATTTTTTTTACATATAAAGGAAGTCTCAAACTTTTAAACGCTTTTTGTAAAATTCAAATCGGTTCACTAGGAGAGCCTAAATTTTTTTTTTATAGTTATAAACAATTTTTAGGCTTATAAACAAATTAAATAACTTTACGAGCTTTAAACATATCAATTTCAAAATGAATACACTTAAAGAACATTAAAAGACGCTTCTTTTAAAAAACAAAAAGATACATTCGGCTTACTGATTGCCGAGATATTCAAAGGTCAAAGTTGGCATACATTTGCCATGTAACCATAAGTGATAGAGGGCTCGTTTTTAAACAAATACCCTCGTCTTGCCAAATACTTTTTATATGAAAAGTTTTACGTAATGCGCTTCATGGCAACATCCATAAAAAAGACAAATAAAAAACCGTTTTCGCGTAAAATGTCGTTCGGAATGCATGAGAGGTGGTGGTGAGGGACATTCACTTCAAATGTGAATCGGCGAGTATCAAGTAGTGGACCATCAGTTTGTTTAATTTCGGGTTTTGAAATAAAAATAAAAGTAAAGTGCTCCAAAATCTGTAAGGGCTTGTATTGAAGGCTTGTATGTTATACAAGTAATTGCATTTTTTCTTCATGTTTTTTTTAGCTTGCAATTTATACATTGAAGTAAATTGTTACTTTTAGTAAACAAATATGTATTTATAAATTGTTAATAAACAATTTTAATTGTTAAAAGGAAGAAAATTTTTTTTTGTAAAAATCAAATATTTTAAAATAATTAACATTAAAAATATTTTATTTCTGCAGTTTTATCATAATAATGACATTATTTGATTTGAGAATATATTTTGATTCTAAAGTGACGTGTATATTGTATATTGACGTGTTATTATACTGCTGTGTAATGCTCGAAACTGTTTTTTTTTGAGCTTGCAATTTATACATTGAAGTAAATTGTTACTTTTAGTAAACAAATATGTATTTATAAATTGTTAATAAATAGTTTAAATTGTTAAAACAAAGGCGAATGGAAAAAAAATTCTTTTCATAAATAAACTTTATTTTGACTCAATCTTCAATAATTTTTTTAAGTCTTTTTCTTTTTTTGGAGACAAGAATCTTCAGGTCTTATTTCTTCCTCAAAACCTTCATTTTCCATTTCAATATCTTCATCCTCGATCTGTAAATTTAATGTTTCTTCTTCTTCATTTGTAGCTTTATCTTGTGCCTTCAAAAAATCTACGGAATCCATCGACTCCATATCCATATCTCGTTCAACTTCTTCCAATATTTTACTGTGATCAATATTTTTACATGTTTGACCATTGCAGTGAAGACAATAGTCAGAACATTTGAGACCATGTTTGATACAACTGCATGTTTTTGTACAAAGTTTTTTATATTTGTAACTAATATTTCTGAATAATGAGTCAGGTAGTAATACTTGCTCAGTTTGTATTGGCTCAAGACCATTTTGAGTTAGTTCCCACCCCCACCCAGTAGCATTCAGGTTATTTCCAAGCCACTGATGTATTTGGAAATATACATTTTCTTAAACTGTCTTGTTTAATTACTCGAGTTTTACATATCGACAATAATTCGTCACAAAGGAGACAGATTTTTCACTCATCTTTTCAAATCAATGAATATAAAAAAGTAAAATAGTTCCTCTAAGATAAGAATTTTGTAAAAAAAATTTTAGTAATATATCAATGATTTTATATAAAATAATTAAAAATATAAAATATTTTATACCTTTCAGAACTTCTCTTAAAATGGAGTCGATGTGCGCGTACAATCCTCACAAAGCAACGCGAAATGTATAAACTTTTTATTAGTTTTTGAAATACAAAATATTTTACTGTTAAAACACACGGATTTGACAATATAACTACTATATAATAGCGTTGAACATATGATCAAACCACTGAAAAACATGTACAGCACACCTTCAATACAAGCCCTTACAGATTTTGGAGCACTTTACTATTTGTTTTTATTTCAAAACCCGCAATTAAACAAACTGATGGTCCCCTACTTGATACTCGCCGATTCACATTTGAAGTGAATGTCCCTCACCACCACCTCTCATGCATTCCGAACGACATTTTACTCGAAAACGGTTTTTTATTTGTCTTTTTTATGGATGTTGCCATGAAGCGCATTACGTAAAAATTTTCATATAAAAAGTATTTGGCAAGACGAGGGTATTTGTTTAAAAATGAGCCCTCTATCACTTACAGTTATATGGCAAATGTATGCCAACTTTGACCTTCAATATCTCGGCAACCAGTAAGCCGAATGTACCTTTTTGTTTTTTAAAAGATGCGTCTTTTAATGTTCTTTAAGTGTATACATTTTGAAATTGATATGTTTAAAGCTCGTAAAGTTATTTAATTTGTTTATAAGCCTAAAAATTGTTTATAACTTTAAAAAAAATTTTAGGCTCTCCTAGTGAACCGATTTAAATTTTACAAAAAGCGCTTGAAAGTTTGAGACTTCCTTTATATGTAAAAAAAATTGCAACTATCTGAGGGCCTTATTAAGGGCCTACTATGAATTTAAAAATTTGCGATTTTTTTCAAGTAGGCTGGATTGCAAAATTATTATGCAAAACCTATCCGACCGATCTTAACAAAATTTAGCACACGTTTTAAACATATTAAAAAGTTTTTCTAGGCGGAATATGGAACTTGTAAGTTAAGTTTAGAAAGTCGAAAACATTTAAACGATTAACTTAATTTTTTTGTACTTTTTTTCAATTATTGCTATTTTTTAACAATAAACATTAAATTTTCAATTTCTAGCTAACGAAATATTGTGTAAAATTGAATAACGAAACTTTTAACTTCTTATAATTTTTTCTCTAGGATCAATATTTTCCGAATTATAAATGAAAATAAGAGCAAAAAATGAGAAATTTTCAATTGTTTTCAGATTTTGTTAAATAAAAAATTTAGCACAGGGTTTGCGACTGGCGCTTATTGTGATTATCGATACTGGGCGTATCCTGAAGGGATTCCAGCAAAAAAATAGCTTCCTATGGAAAATTTCCATTATGGTCTGAATTTCTACAGATGCCGCCTAGTCTATATAGAAACTATTGTTATTGTTGAATATTGTTACAAAATGTTGGTTTTTGGAGTAAGTGTTTGGTTATAAATTTTTTTAGTACGTTTTCCGAAACGGAGTTTATGAATTCACTCCACTTTGCATCTTCGTCGTATATCTGTACTCCTAGCTCTGACCCATAATGTCTTACCATTCATTTTCTAAGGGGTTTTATCTTTGCTGTTTCTAGCATTCTTTTTATTCTCTCTGTGTCGGGTTGTGTTTCTGCTGCGTATGTCAATATTTTGTAAATTCTGCTTTCATTTTTTCTTTTCCGATATTTATATTTCTCCATATTGTTCCATTCCGAGAGATCATCGCCGAGACAGAAGGCGAGCTCCAAAGATTAACACATATCTTCAATATAACAGCTAAGAAATACACTATTATAATATTAGCAGAAAAACCAAATGTATGACAACATCTAAATACCCACTACGGTGTAAAATCGAAATTGATAGGAAAATAATAAAGCAGGAAACAAGGTTTAGATATCTGGGAATATATATAACTAGTTACGGAGTTGTTGAAGAAGAAGTGCGACAACAAAGCTTAAAAGCAAGTAAACCGTAAAATTAAACTTATATTAACATTCACAGCGGAGACAAGACCTGACACATCTAAAACGAGACGACTGCTAGAAACAAAAGAGATGAAAATACTCCGACCAATATCAGGGAGAAGTCTGTTGGATAGAGAGAGAAGCGAAAACATAAGAAGAGGATGCAATATAGAAGACATAAATGGATGGGTGACAAAACCAAAACATGAGTGGAACGAACATATCAGTAGAATGGCAGAGGATAGAATAGTACGAATGGCGCGAGATAAATCACCAAATGTTCGAAGAAGTATTGGCAGATCAAGAAAAAGATGGTACGACAATTTAAACAATTTAGGAGGGTAATATTGAAGAAGATACAGGCTTTAAAAGCCTACATACTAGAAGGAAGAAAAAGAAGAAGAAGTTCCATTCCGGCATCCTTCGGCTCTATTTGCTCTCTTGATCGTCCACTTCTATTTCGGGCTTTCCGTAGTTAGATAGTGGGATGCCTAGATATTTAAACTCTACACTTGTTCTATTATCTGACCCCTCCCCCCAGCACCGTTTTATGATAGGTATTGGCACTGTTTGTTCTGATTTTTGGGATCTTTGGTGTATTAGTAAGGCTACACCTTCTTTGACCCTGTTTTCTTTTGTTATTCTACTGTATGTAATAATGGATTGCCATATAATAATGTTGTATATATTCTTGTAGCGTTTATGGGATTGATTCTATCAAGAGTTCCATATAGTGACACTCCACGGGTAGTTTACCCCTTGAAGGTGGTAATTACTTGAACATGCACTAGATACTCATAACTCCGTTTATTAATTCTCTAAGTACAATAATAGATAGTACTCAATTGACGGATGACAACATTAACTTCGACCGTTCTTTTGATTCTTCATTCTTAATAATGATAATGATCCTAATCCCATGATTTCCAGCTATTTAACTCACGTGCGGTTGTTTTTGTTTTGTTTGTTTTGTTTTTGTTTTTTATTTGTTTAATTTATACACCTTATTTAATAAGCTTTTGATTACATTGCAAATTTCACTAGGTCAGCGAGCGTCCTCGTTACAACGATATTTTCAATGTCATAAACAAAGAATCGCATTTGGCAAATATGTGTCATGTTGTAAAAAAGGTTACTTAGATTAAATCCCGTTACATGTAGATACCTAAGAGGTGCAAATATTGCATGGCTCTATATAGTTATTCTAGATTAACTTATTAATAATAATCAAACAAATAAAAAATATGTTATTTTTGACTTTCTATTAACTATTATTAATGTTCTTCTCTGTGTCATATAGAGGGCTGGTGAAGAATTCCCTACTACAAATGAAGATTTACAGGGCTTCTGGGACATGGTAATGCTTCAAGTGGACCAAGTAGATGCCATCTTTAAGGAAATCGAAGAACTAAAAGCGAATAACTGGAAGGAACCGGTCAAGGAGGTAACTAAAACTCCTCAAAACGGAAAACCTAAAAAATTAACTCCCCGAACGAGACCTTCGTCAGCTGCAAATGAAGAGGCAAGAAAACAGAGAGAAATAGAAAGAAAGAAAATGATAGAAGAAAGACGCAAAGCGATGAAAGCAGCTCAACAGACTAAACCTACTATCGAAATTTTCGTGCCTGAAAACGCTAGCTGAGATTCGACAACATTTTAGGTATTTTTTTAGGGATAGGGGTGAATTTTAGGAAGGTAAATTTTTAATTATGAAAACGATATATTGTTGATGATTTTTAAAAAATATATTCAATTCAAGATCCAAGAAAATTTAAGAAGTATTATCAGATATTTTTAAAAATAATAAGGATTTGCTCTTATTAAACTTTATTAAGATATTTAGTGAGTTTTATTATTATTATTTCTTTAAATATCTGACATATTCATAATGAAATATAGTTATTTATTGCCTGAACTATTTCTTTGGCAGTGTATATTTAGTATTGATTAGACATTGGAAAAGCTTAAATTAGCGCTCGTGTGAAACATCTATTTTGACTTACAACCTAATTTCATTTTAAAAAGAAACTAAAGTAAATATTAGATAAATATTTTGGAGAATATACAACATTGAACTTTATACTACCTGATATTGAATTACGTTTTTGGTCATTTTTGTTCTATATTAAGAACTTCATATAACGGTATGAATCCGAGACATCATACTTTTAATAACATCATCACCAAAGCTAGGGTCTATAAATTAGATACTTTGAGCATTTCTGCAGCCTTCAGATGCACTGAAAGTGAAACATATTCCTCCGTTTCGTATAACCGTCGTTACCTTGTCTGGTGGCGATGATATTTTGCACAATATTTGTATCAGATTGTCCTTGGCATGTCGAGCATCATCGATACAAGTACAAGGTATATGTTGTGGGTAGTTGACTAATAATAGCTTGCCTATACGGTTCGCGGTACATCATCTGTATTTGAGGTGATGATAGAGTCTACACTGTCTCGAAGAAACCCGATGTTTTACAACAGTTGAAAATGGTCCTTTGCGTGAGTTTGATCCACGCATCGTAAATCAGTCAAATACGTCTAAAAACGTAATCTTTGGATATTCAAACTTAGATGTTAAAAAACTCGATAATTTTTAATATAAGATTTCTGTAAAAGTGTGATATCAGGCATTGATCCATTGGTCTCAATGCCCAAAACTTATGTTAGAAGACAAAAACATTAGGGTTACGCTTTTAAAGTCTACCAAAAAGCAGCATTTTAATTTTCATTATTTCTCCATCTTAAGCGCTTACCCTTCTGGCGAAAATGTCAGCAATCATTCAGGCCTGGAGATTATTTTCATAATCCATTGCAGAGTGGCGCCAATTTCTAAAACATCCAGTACAGGGGTGCTCAGACTTGTAGTGTTTGCAATCTATCACAAAATATTTTAAAGACAAGCGATGGGTTACTGACTACTACAACTAGACTAAAGCCTAGATACTAAAATATGTAAATTTCTGAAAACACTTTATAATTGTTTTGTAAAACGTTGTATAATTACTAAGTGCCAACCGTTGCCAACTTTTACTTGTCATAATGTAATAAAGACTGACATAATGCTCTGCCACCGCAGCTTGTTATACAAGAAACAGAATCTCGAGGACAATCGGTAACATTTGCCAAACGTCTCGCGGTCATATTGCCTCAGAAGCATGGAATATTTCGATCAGGATCTGAATCTTTTGCGATCGACTCCAGAATCTGTTACAAAATCTAAATCTTCTGCGATCGACTCCAGAATCTGTCGTGATCGACCAGTCGATCGCGATCGACTGTTTGGGCACCTCTGATCTAGTATGTTGAGATTTCCCGGTTATAAGAAGCTTTTTTCAATGAGGCATCTCATATTCAGCGCCTTTATTTCCCAGTTACGCTAACATTGAAACCCCTGTAATAGTGATTGATCTATTTGTTGTTACGTAAAGTCGTCACACATTCAGGGTACAAGCCATCCAAATGACATTAAACGTTATAATATAAATAGTAAGACAAGACGAATTCCTTCACGAGAGCTACCAGCGTCTCAACGGTATAATACTACTCCTTTTCTACAAATGAGAAATTCTTCACTTCACATACCGGATTTTAGCGCTGGTTACTAGTTCTAACTGCACTGGCTGTGATTTATATCTCAATTGATCAACGTGCGTTGGTTGGGAGGATTGCAGCAAACAGAGGCGAGGGTAGTTGTGTTTAGGTATTCTACAGAAAACGACGTCGATGTGAAACATAACATTAGTTTGAATTCATGTCACTAAAAATGGTTAGACGTAGACGAAGTTGTAATAGAAGTTCTACTGTAATAATTTTGAAATTAAAAAATCTACTTATTCCGTGCATTATATACTTATCCTGAGAAATACTCTATAAAATTGTTAAATCAAATTGTAAAAGAAATTCTTCTTGACTTGTTCAATTTTTACCTTCTTGACATTCACCTCTAAATATTTTGCTATTAAAATTTCTGCACTCTATTAATTTATAATTTAATATGCTCATTTGTACAATCTAAATATATTACACTTACTGCAAAGCTAATAAAACGTTTTATTGTATCAACAAAACTAAAACTTGATAACCGAACAGCAATTTTGTTTTATATCTCGCGCCAAACTTCTCAAGCAGTACATAATATATGATTTTTTCTACTAAATCTGTTTTTCGTCATCGATAAGAAGTTCAAAACTTATGGCGTCACAAGTGCACGGCTTGACTTGTATGTAGTTTGAATAAACGAGAATTGCAGAAAAATTTTGAAATTATCAAAATCAGTTCTAGGGTGCCATTGTTTTATTATTGATCACAAAGAACTAAATTAGTAGGAAAGATATAGCTACATATTTTTTTATATTGAAATATGTGACAACAAAGATTCATACGAACAATTTAGTCTATGACTATATTTGTTTTTTTTTTCTATTTGCGATTTTAGATTTGATATGAGTTAAAAAGATTTTTTAATTGTATGCCTATCTCACACGTAGTACTTTAATCTTTATTTCTAATATGTAGTTCCTAGATAGTAAAAACAAATACATAGTCTAGTGAGTCAATTAGTTATAATTACCAATATTTTACTGCACACTGTGCATGTACTTTTTAAAATTATTTTTATTTTACCTTTTGCGTTTTTTACAGATATTTTAATTGGAATGTGTTGGCAACTACTTAACCCTTTTGACAACTATTACTTGAAATATATGTATGGATAGTTTTTTTACTATTTCCAATTTTTCTTTTTAAAGAGTTATAGACAAGGATCTATTTTTATGATAGACACCAATATATTAATTGTACTCTAAAATTAGTGTCGGTTTAGTTAATTTTTTTCGAGACGCCCTCTTAAACAGTATGTTGATTTTAGTAAAATAAAATCGTTTGGCTATGTGCTCCCCAAATTATAAAATCACTACTTCAGTATTTAGGTATTCAGGGAACTCCAATGTTGTCAATACTATTTGTCACCACTGACATAGTCATGTAATCGGTAGATGTATGAAAGGTAGTAAAGTTAAGTACTACGTGTGCCGTCCTTATTTACTATACCAGACTGGATACTCGAAATATATATATGTGATAAATACGATTTATGCAAATGCGTTGTGGCAATAACAATAATCAAAAATTTTAATTTATAAATGTAGTCATTTAAAGATATATTTAGTTTCTTAATAACATGAATTAATTTGGTTGATAGCTGTTTTGTTGTATTAATTTTTTTAATTATCTAAAAATGTTTACGTTGGTTATAAATATGCGGAAAAATCTAACAATGGTTTTATGGTGAATAGTTTGTACTGCTTCTAGAAGTATCAGTAATATACTCGTAGCCTACTTTTTATCTTATAAACTATATTTCAATTCTGCAAAGACTGAGTTATAAAACAATAACACTGAACAGCAAAAATATTGATAACATGTATTACCAATAATAACCAAAAATTATTGTACTAAAAAAAGAAGATACATTCCCAGTGCTTTTTTATAACTTACTGGTGCATTTTTATTAATTTTTATTAAAATTCTTTGTTATACACGTGACCGTTTAAATGAGATGTAACAACTACAGGGTTTTATTTAGCACATTAGTAAAATAACATGCATACGTTGGTCAAAATGTCTCTTCGTCTAAAATTCAAAATATTTAAAGTTAAGAAATTAAAGGCCACAACATGTTCATAAAACAGTGTTGTGTTCATAAAACACAACACTGTTTTTAATTTCCATAGAATATAGTTAAATTTACATGTTCCTCTGAAAAATCAACCCCTTCAGAAGAAGTTTAAACTAAGTTTTTTGTGCCACTAATTTTTATATCTACCTAACAGCAAATAGACACAGTAATAGGCAATATGTGTGTGTTAATTGAGAATTAAATATGTGTTTTTTAAGGCTGACAGTTTCAAATATTTCCTGTTAAATATTAGAAATTCAGCGGCTTAAAAATACAGATTTAACTCTCAATAAGCAAATTGTTAGTGGGAGGTCTCCGTTACTCTATCAAAAGGGAATGTGGTTAGATAGAAAAAAAGAGTTATATAAACTTCTGTTAGATAGATATAAAAACTGTTTGTAGATTAAAATAGTTTAAAACCACTGTTGTTCTGATGTTTCAGAGAAACATATTAAGTAGACTAAATTCTGTGCATGTTTAAAACAAGTGTTGGGTTTTATGCTTTATTATTGAACGTGAATTTTGATCATCTAACCGGTAATTTCTTAAATTATTGATAATTCTGTAAAATATAACTGATATAACAACTGCTTATAAACGATTGGGAAATGAAGGTCAAACTTACTGAGATATCTTTTTAATGGTCCTTTATTCCACTATTGTATATTTATCAAGAAACATTTTGACCGATTAATAGCAAAACTTTTCACACTTTTTAGCGATTCTGACACAATATCACCAAATATGAAGACTGATATCTAAACTAAAAAGTTATGCTAATGAACGTGTTTATTAAAAAATAAGTAAAATGGAAATGCTGTTAAATAGGAGTAATATTTTCAATTTATATTTCTTTTGTTAATGTACCCTGTGAAAAGTCGGTGTATGTTGTACGTATTGTTGACAGAGATTTTTTAATATAGTTGGGATTACTATAGATATGTTATATGCTATGTTAGTTTTTTTAAGGTGAAGTTAAAAATATGACAATTTATTTATTGCATTACACCTCTATATCTCTTTCATTCGATCAGCATTCTTATATCATTTTTGATAATTATTTATTATATTAACTACATTAAATAAATTATTTACGCTACTTTATTTGTTGTTTTCATTGTAAACTCCCTAAGCACAATACTTTATATATATATATATATATATATATATATATATATATATATATATATTATATATATATATATATATATATATATATATATATATATATATATATATATATATATATATATATATATATATATATATATATATATATATATATATATATATATATATCTACGGCATAAAGTGAACTCCGCCCATGTTAAAATTCAGGTTCAAGTAAGCTCCGTGGTCAAGTGGACACCGATATACGGAGCTCACTTGTCCATTCCATAATATTGGCTCTGTCGATTCGTTAAGATGTATAGTTTCATAATTCTTAAAAAAATTTTGGAGCTCATAAGTACCCCTGTATCATAAATGTATTTCGCTTAGTTCACGTGTATATATTATAGGGGTCGTTCAGATCTTTTTCACTGTATATTGGAACTATAAGTATAACGGTTTAAGTAAGCTCTGATAGTTTGGCAACGATGCACTTAGGCCAGCGTTCTTGATATATATATTTTATATATTTTAAACGGTTCATACGGACTCCTTTTCATACGCATTACAATATGTAATCTTCTTCTTCTTCTTGATGTGCCTATCCGTTATGAATGTTGGCGATCATATTGACAATATGTAATAGATACGTATAATACTAAATACCTGTTTTTGGTAGGTACCTGCTATTCTAAAAATAGCTTTATAAATACAAAAGGAATTCATTACCAAGTTATACGTGTTTTTTCATATGCGAATATTTCCTAATGTATTTTGTTAACGTGAATATATCTTTATACGTTTTATTTAAGAATACGATTAATAAGAACTTTTAGTTAATCCATTGTTTTACGATATCTTGTATACAGCTTCTTTATTATTTTATTTCTGGTTTTATCTGTGTACTACATATAATTCTGGATAGGTTATCTTAAAATAAATATTTAAGTGCAAAAATAGATATTTTTATGTAAAAATTGGTAGTAGTGCACAAAAGAGGGAAGAATGCTTAATTTATATAAGAAGAATGTACCAGTTCACCAATATTACATACTTCTAAATGTTTTATCTGCTATTTAGGGGTAACATGTAATCAATAAACGTGGAGTTTGTGTCAAATTTGCAATAATCTTTGGTCAGTTTTTTCTCGATTTTAGTCATAAATTGAGCTGGTATTCGTTGAGTGGATGTTGCGATTCCAGACTTTGTATCTTTTATTCTCTAGCAGTCTAACTACTTATCTTCGGATATTAGGTGAATTGATAGCTACGATATTGTAGAGCTTATGTATGGATGTGTGTGTGTGTGTGGTGTGTGTGTGTGTGTGTGTCTTAATATTCGCTGAATTTGGCTGTCTAATTTATAGCTAAATCTACGTGTTAAATATGTGTTGGTGTCATCCATACTTGCAAGGTATATTCGGTAGCAGAAGCATAGAGTGCAAGCGTCTACGTTTTAAGGATGAAAGGATGCTTCTCATTTTTAGCTGACAAGTTTGCAGAGATTATTTTTCTGGTCCTCAGTTTGCCTTTTAGTTTTAAACAATGCTCTATGAATGACAAAGTGTGATACAAACTATCTTCAAGGTATTTATAGCAAGTCCAGAGTATCATTTCATGACACTATTGGATGTTTAGATTTTTAAAAGCATCTCTGTTAGCGACATTAAAGCAGGACATCTGACTTTTTCTGAGGTTTGGCTTAAAATTGATTCATAGTCTATTTTTATTGTGTTTAAAGTATGATCTAGATTTTTCTATACTTCAGCAACAAAAGTTTTTGGTTGTGCAACAATATAGATGTATCGTCTACATAATAAAAGTCCTAGTATTTACTGGTATGGGTTGTGTAAATATTATACAGTGTAGGTACCATTACGCTACCCCAAAGGAGACCGTTCTTCTGCGTTTTCCATCTGTTATTTTTACCATTGAATGATACGAAAAATTTTCTGTGGTGTAGGCATACCCGGACAATACAAGCCATTGTTGTATTTTTGATCCAAATTTTAGAATTAGTTTTGTGCTCAGATCTTTAGTCAGGAGCCGTAATATTGTTCATTATATACGTAGATAGCAGATCCAAGCTCAACTCCGTTGAAAGATTCCCTTAGCTGACTGGTTTTGTCCCCTCTCATTTTAAGTTTTTCTTTTCTTGTTTGCCTATGTTTGGCCCTCAATGTGTTTCCTGCACTAGAAATACGTCACATTTGTGTTAACCGCATATGTCTGATAAAGTTAAGTAAAGTAAAGTACCTATCTTTATCTCTGGATATTCCCTTCTCTAATATTTATAGACATAATTAGGATAGTTGGCATTAAAAAGACCGATTTGGCCGATCTTTAAACCCTATAAAATATGGCTAATCTTTTACTTTTCATTAAAAATTTTAATTTTACATACTGTTACTTTTAGACAATATTTCGATCAGATTTGTATAGTAATAAATGTAGTTAATATATGTAGAGTCTCTTTGTGAAAAATAAATGAGTTTGTAATATCGGTCACAACTCATATATGGATAATAAGGAAATAAACAGTTAAAATAGGTGTACAAAATTTTAACTACATATCGGCGCCATTGTTCAGGAGTTGGGTTTATCTCAGAGATCAAAGGTTACGTTACATGCATATTCCAGGTTTTATTTACGTATTTTCATTCCTAAAAAAGTATATTTATAATAAAGCCCTGAAGCTACCTTTAGATTCTATGAAAAGTAGAATCTATGGAAATTAGCAAATTAAAAAATAAAGACATAATTCTGAATGGCCAACTTGAGACAAACAATTCTCCCGTCCTTAACTTATTCAGTTACAAACTATAACGTGTAAACGCATACATCTTTTATTGTTAGATAAAATGAATTTTTATCAAGTAACGGTCGGATCCATCACTTACTAAAAGAGTAGAAAATGACATGCTTATGCTTTAGAGTACGGCTACTTTAGTACAAAGTACCCTTTGCTTTTGCCAATTGCTTTCTCACTTTCTTAGCGATGGGCCTGGCTTTTCCTTATCAATAATGTTCTCGTTCGTTATAGTTATTCTAAGATATTCAGATTTCACTATATGCTCTACATTTGGTTTTATCTAATATAAATTTACAACTATGACGAAATTTTTATAATATTTTATGCATTGGTATTAAACTAATATTAAACTGAGGATATAAAAATCAACAATAAGACCGATAATGACGTACATAGCGAAAACAAGAGCAGATACGGCGAAAACACAAAGACTGCTAGAAACAACAGAAATGAAAGTCTTACGAAAAATAACAAACTAAACTCTAAGAGAAAGAGTAAGAAGTGAAAAAATACGAGCGGGATGTGGTTTAGAGGACATAAACGCGTGGACCAAAAGAAAAAAGCGGAATGGAATCAACACTTCGAAAGAATGACAGAAAATAGAATAGTACGAATAGCAAGAGACAAATCGCCAAATGGAAGGAGATCATTGGGACGACCGAGGAAGAGATGGTCAGACAACGTCAATTGAGGCTCAAAACCGAAGTAAAACAGACATTAAGCCTATTTATAAAGAAGGAAGAAGAAGAAGAAGATATTAAACTAGAGTAGAGCACTTGGTAGATAATATTTATTTGTTTTGAGTATACTTATTTTACAACATAGTACATAAAATAATAAATATTTGTGTGCTCAGTTTTTTGCTCTGAATTGAAGATTTTATCTCAAAATATGACTGTAATTTATACAAATATTATTATTTTCTGAGCTACCGGTATAAATTTAAATTTTGAATTTCGCAATGATTTTTTAAAATTATTTTCTTGTGACATTATGTCACTGTAAGAATAATGCTGGGAATAAGGTTAAATAGGTTTTTATATTTTATTTGACGTTTAAATATTTAAATCTGAGTTCATTTTTCGAAAAACTATAAACTTGTGACAACAAATTGCTATATAACAGTACGAGGCAATATTCTTATGCTATGACAAAAATCATAATATTTGCTTTACATTGCCGTTTTTCCTGCCGTATCATATTTTAGCATAGTCTTCTGATTCATTTTATAGACAAGCGGTAATGGATATCCACAATTTGTCTAATAATATTAAGTTTTAAAAACAGCTGTGCTTTTATGCTCATTCGTTTACCTTTTGTAAAGCCACCTGAGTTATGAATAACTACTTTTTTGTATTTTTAGAAGACATACTTCTATCGGGCATATTTTAATGTGTGAATATTAGGGATTTATATAATCTTTTTATATATATAATTTGTTTATTGATTTTACATTTTAGATAAAATTTCATAATTATAGTTCTCTTCCGTTTATTTTTGAACATAAGATGTAGGTAGTCTCATTATTCCTAAATCTGACCATATGTTACTTTTCTCCTTCATTCGTGGACGTCCTAAGGGCATTTTTTTTCTCGATTCTCCCAATTTAGCTTGACAATGCAGTTATTAGAGGGCCTTTGGATATAGCCAGCGCAACTTTGGCGTTGAGATTTAGTTTCTTGTACGACGTTGCTACCTTTGTATATGTGTTTGACCTTGGCATTAGTTCCGTTTGGTATTGGTTAGTACTCGGACCTATATAGGTTGGAAAATACTTCTGATGACATTTCTAGCAATCCTGATCTAATTACTACTTGAGTTTTACTTACATTATTTTGACAGTGTTCTCGTCACATATCCACACAGTAGCACTGATTTAATTATCTTCTTATATATCCTGATTTTATAGATTCCTATTAGACTTCTGGATTTAAAAGTGTTATAAGGGTTATAATTAATATATACATCAGCTACCTAAATATTCATTTTTATTTCTTATGTGAGAACGTTATCTACGATACACTAAATACTGCAATGTTTTAAAATGATATGAGTTTATTGTACCATAATGCTCTACTCTATATCATCTTTTTTTTACATGTTAAAGGACATTTATTTAGTTTTTTACTGATTATCAGCAAAGTTTTTTGGTGCTAATAGCATTATTTTATAGCATTCCAAT